TTATGCTTATGACATGGGTAGCGATAATGTGTTGCTAGATACCGCTTATCGTTTATAGTATTAATTGCATTGTGATTAATGTTATTGCCATTGTTATGAATATCTAGAAGGGTCAAACACATAAAACAATTGAATGAAGTAGAAACTTAAATGGAATGATGTAAAATAATATGGGATGTGTGACGTACATATTAAATAACTATGTTGACCTTTTAATTATGTGATAATTAAGTTTTTCAAATATTATGTGTGAAATAATATATATATATATATATATATATATAAGCACACACACAGATATATATATATAAGATAAAATAAATATTAAATATAAATTTCCATTGGGTGGTAATGACGATTGGATATAAAATTTTGTTTTCCGCTATGCAATCTCCACAGTGGTATCGGAGCCGGCTTACGAAATTATGAATTTTGTAGATTTATTATCATTAGGGTTTTTGCTAATTGATAAAATAAATTCATATTTGTTTTTAATATATTTTGAAAAATATATAAAATAATATAAAGTGTCAAATTTGGATTCTGGACTTTATATAATATGAAAATATGATTTTGGGAATTGATTTTGTATAAATTTTCTGTTTAATCAATTAAGTGTAGTTTTGTAGTTTAATTGGTTAAAATATAAAATAAATTCTTAAAGATTTTATAAAACTAATTTCAGTAATTCCGGAATGTGAAAATATGATTTTAAGTATTCTAGAAATTTAAAATTAAATTTCAAAATTAATTCCGTATTTTAAGGGTTGTTATTTGGTTTGAGAGTTCATTGGGTTAATCACAAAACAAATACAATATAAATATATAAAATCTATTTTAATTATTCTGGGTTTTTAAAATATGATTTTAAGGGTTCTGGAAAATTAAAATAAATTTTCGGATTTTCTTTTTAATTTTTTGGATTTAATTAGATCTAATTCCTAATTAATAGTGATTAATTAGAATAAAATACATTATTCGAAATTATAATTTTATAAATTTGGAGATATGATTTTCAGATTGTGTAAAATTATTTGGGAATATATATTAGAGTTAATATAATTAATTTGTATTTATTAATTATTTATTCTCGGTAAGAATATTTTGAAAATACAGATCTGAGAATATTTCAGAATTATGGAAATAATTTATTGAAATCTTTTCCAGTTTCCTTAATTAATAATCGATATATTTGTGAAAATAAATTTTTAATATTCTGGAAATTTGATTCTCAGATTGAGTAGGAGAAAAAAATCTTGATTTTTGGAATCCGAAAAAAAATCTACGGTATTAAAATAAGTATATCCAAAAATAAAATTTTATAAATTCTTGAAATTTGATTTTCAGATTAATAAAATTAAGATAAACATTCTGGATTTTATTTATTAATTTTCCAAAGGTATAAGTATTTATTTCGAATTAAAATCCCTATTTCAAAATTAATACCTACATTTACGGTAATTAATTTATTTTAAAAGTCTGAATATTCTAATTTTTTTATTTGGATATTCTAGAGTTTTAAAATATTTTTAATTAAAGTATTTGATAGTGTAATTAATTGTTTAGACTTGCAGTTCATTTTATCGTAGAATAAACTAGGTCTGAGGCAAGCGCGGTTCGCCCGGTATGTGCTTAATTGTTACATGTGATGTATGTTTTGCATGATGTATGGTTATGGCTTGGTAATTACGGTTTTTAAATACGACCTGCGTGTCATGACTTATCTCTTTATTCTGATTGTAATTCTCTCTTGAACTTTATACCCCTTGCATGTAACACAAGGATTCTTCATATCACGTTTTATTTATTTATGCATATTGATGTATGAATCTATATTTTGCTAGAACATTTGTGCGGCACTTGCCATAGATGAGACCACGCTTAAAACCCCTTATTATATTAAGTCTGTGCCTTCCGACGTCTGCTCACTCGTCAAAGCTAATTTTAATCAGTAACGAACACGCCAAAGCGGGACGTCTGGTTTACGTTGGTGAGGCGCGAAATCTGTAACAATGGATGCTCACAGACCTCGAGTTGGACTTAACTAAGGGGGGTGATTTGCAGTATAGAACGGGCAAAAATAACAACTAAAAAGAATCCCTTGTAAGTAGGGTGTCGAACCTCAGAGAGACGCGAGTTAATTTAATTTAAACAAAAGTTTACAAAAGAAGTTGTAAAATATTTTGGTCTTTTTGGTTTTAGAGATAAAATAAAAAGTGTAAAAGAAGAGAGTTCCAAACAACACAAAGTTTTTGATGTTGAAAAGTTAGGGGTAGAAATTGGTAAATTAATTGTCCAATGTTTTTATAAAAGTTGGATTGTCAATTTATTTTTTTATATAGAATGTGTGGAGTTGCAGAAAAGTATTCAGGGACGCTCTCGCAGTTCACCTAAATAATAACTACTCCGACTTTAACACGCTAATGATAAATCCGGAGTAATTATTTAGTAGCAACGGCAACCATAATTATTTTATTGTATGTTTACCCAATTTAATGGT